ACTATATGATGCTTTAAAAAAAAACCCAAAAAAAACAAAAATGTAATGAGCAGAAACATTAAAGCTTCATGAATTAGGTGTGACCACAGCATTACTCATTTATCGGTGGAAGGCCTGCTGTGAAAACCTCATCATATTCATTCTTGGAATTGGCACAACACTTGATTAGTTAAAAGCGCCGTGGATCAGGATGTAGGACTGGGAATTAAACCTCGTCGGCGGGGAAGAGATGTACGTGCTCTCTCCCTGTGAGTAACCAATGCTAAATAATTAACAGCGAGATACACGTTAGAGGATGAATGGCAAAGAACAAGTGTTTTACATAATCCTGATATTACGCAACAGAAGGGCCCTACAATCTAGTCACTCTCAAATATTCATTTACAAGGCAAACAGTGCCCACCTTTCCATGAAAAGAGACAAGCAGACACTCAGTGAGGCTTGGCTGATGGTAATGACAAGGCGTGACGTGAAGGACGCCCGCCAAAGTAATATGGAAATGGAGGCTCGCCGTTTCCCCCGAAACAGACAGATACTAAGAGCAGGTGTAAACAACAGCTTTCTAGTCCACTCGGTGAGTTTCCGGAGGATGTGGAAGCAGTACCACTGTAGTTATGCACTGCGCTGTCATCGTGGAGAGCCCGCATCTGCATTCTGCACAAATCCCCTCACTCTCACTCAGCGGGGGCTTGTAACTGTTCAGCATCCTGTGTTTAACATGCTCTCCATGTACCACTCTCCCAAATGAGTCGGCGATAATTCTGTCCTCCAGAGAAACTCGAGCAAAGATAAGAAAAGAAAGAGCAACAAAAAAGAGAAACAAAAATTGCCTTGCTCCCTTGCTCCCGGGAGGAAAACTCATAAAATCTCAACAATGACGAACTCGGTGTAATTGACATTTATGACACATTTTGCTTTTATGATTATCATCATCATCAACCCGATTACTTTAGAATGCCTCGATCCAAACAAGTCCAGCCTTGATCTCAGCTTATACTACACAGCGAGTGCTGTTGATGAATTTTGAATTCAACCTGAGGCTGGCCATATCAATGTAACATAAAGTTTAGAAGCACCTAATATATCTTTTCCAGACTTTCAGCAATATATAGAACGCAGTGCGAAGGTCTTAAGCAATCCCTAACGTCTTCATATTTTGCTCCCAATGAGGCAGACTTTTCTGTTTCTTTTTAAAGTGGTCTTGAGCAACCGTTTGAGACTTTCAGCATTCAAAGTTGTGCTTTGGACAACTACAATACTACCATAGGCTGTTTTTTCAAACAGCCTATGGTAGCTGGGATTGGCTGTAGGCTAAATGGAATAACTTGAAGAGAATGGATCGAGAGAGGCACCAGCAGTTTGTTGCAAAAACCAAAAACCTATTAGCCAAAAACTTGGTATATGTTGGCATGGTGCGCAGTGTGTCCATACAAAATTTTGAGGAAACTGGAAAAAGCCCAAAAGTAGCAGACACTTTAAAAAAAAAAAAAGACTATCTACAGCAGGGGTCTCAAACTCCAGTCCTCGAAGGCCGGTGTCCTGAAACTTTTCCATGTGTCCCTGCTGCAACACACCTGAATAAAATTAGCAGGTCATTAACAAGACTCCATAGCACCTGACTGCATGCTGAGGTGGCAATTCAGCCATTTGATTCATGTTACAGCAGCTCATGAGTGAATGAACATGGTGCCTGAGCTACAGCATGAACAGTATCCAAAAGAAACAAATCCAAGAATCCAAAAGAGCAAAAATCCAACAAAGATCTGACATGGGACCTAGCCCTTCAGTTCATCCATCTGCTTCACTGACGCCTCATGAGAAATAGTCTCTATCCAATGATGTTTGTCAAGAAGGGTATGAGGTATGCCAAATTATACAATAACTAGACTGAAAGTCTCTTACAACAGGTCTCATGGAGTTATGAATCCAAGTTTGGTTCAAATCACCATCAACATGTACAGAGTTGGTAAGGAGAGACATAAAGCAGTGAGCATCATGGTTTGGGAATGCATTTCAGCCAGAGGTGTTTGTTTCTTGTCAAAACTGATGAGTTATGAGTGCAGAAAAGCACCATCAGATTTCAATCCACCATGCAATACCATCTGGAAAGTGTCAGACTTCCAACAGCTTCATTTTTGAGCATGAGGATGATCTCAAACACGCTGCCAAATATGGACTTTTAAGCTTGTTAGAATTGTACAAACTGTTTTCCTTATATACCATTTTCCCATGGATGTTTGCAGATGTTCCTTGCATAAAGATAAAGAAATGTGTGTGTCTCAAGACTTTTGCATAGTACCATTGCTTAAAAGCTGGGGGAAGGGAGCTAAGGCTTGTTTCAGACAGAGAGCAGTGAGGGGCTGCCACTGTTTGATAAATAAGCATCATTTTGAACTGTGACTCATGCAAACAGTTCACAAATAAAAATATGGAAATGAGCATAAAAGTCCTTCTTAAGTTTGGTGGAAAAAGCCTAATTTTATCTTAGTGGGCTGTGACAGTCTGTCAGCATTTTTACTTCTTGAGAGGATAAAGACTAAAGCTGCATTTTAAAGTGTAACTTGACCTCCAGCTCTGAGCCAAACACCACCCATTGCACAGTTTTGAAAAATCCTCAAAAGTTTGCCAGAGCAGGGAGAGGAGCTGTGGATGTGTGAGGCCGGGGGGTACTCAGGGGCCACAGAAAAATGGAGAGTGACATAAAACAACACATACTTTCTAATGATTTTTCCTCTCCTGAATCTCCCCCATGCTAAATCTAAAGGGGATATTTAGTGTGGTGAAGGACCACGGTGTGGAATTAAATTGTGCCATTAGCTCCAGCCTCTGTAATGCCCAAAGTCAGAGCTCACTCACTCTGGCTCTCTCTTCCTCTCAGGTATCAATAGAGTGATCTAACATCTCTAAATAAATAAAACCACTAAGTAGAAGGTTAGCAAAATGTGGAAGCCCCCTATTGATGATAATTTTATATTTGCATATGCAAAATGAAAGTACTTTCACTAAATTCCACTTAAGACCAGTGTATGGAGAAGGTGTGCCAGCCAATCCGGATTAGAGTGCATTGCCAGGTTACCATGTTTAAATAAGTTTGACAGAAATGTCAATATTGACATCGGCACTGAAATGTTTCAGTTGTTGGTATTTCTACCCGCTACCTCATTTCCCAAGGGGTCACCACAGTGAATAGATCTGCATGACTTGGCACAGATTTGTTTTACACAGGATGCCCTTTCTGACAAAATCCTCCCATTTATTCTGCACCACCCTCTCAGACTGTGTTTGCAATTCCTCCTGGTGTCAGACTGGGGATCTTCTGCATGCAAGGCGAATGTGTTAACCAGTACACCGTGGAGCCACCCACTGAAATGCTTCAGGTACACTTTTATAGCTGTGAACTAACCTCCTAAAACCAAATAACTTTCACATCTTTGAACTCATTGTTTGACAGAAAGCTTTTTAATTTTGCACCAGCTTTAAATATGCTTTGATGTGAATTTTGCTTCCTGAAAATATAAACTTTGGATTTAATATTCTTGGCAAAGGAAACAGGCAAGTTCAATATGCAAACATATGTCCCTTAAAATGCTGGTCCTGCCCCTGAGTACTGAATAACTCTAACAGATACAAAAGATTTAACTGACCTCATTAAAATGAATAAATAAACCTTTTTATTAGATTCAGGACACTTTATAGTGAACATGTTTTTACTCTGTGAAGCCAGGTATGTGTCTATTTTAATGGCATATGTTAAAAGAAAAGAAACTGGCAGTGCTCTCACACCCAGAGATAAGCAGCAGCCTTCTTGCAAAGTCAAACACCAATCGCACTGATTTCGGCCACTGCGTGGACTCCACATAACAAAACTTATGACCATTTCAGATGAAAGTGAATGGGCTGCAAATAATAAAATACTGAAGATCTCAATTTCTGTCCCCCAGTTTCCTCATACTAGCCTGCTTCCAGCAGGGGGTGCTAAATAAAGTAAAACAAACAGGAGGGGCAGCAGCTCATAAACACATAGCTGTGGGCGCTGTGATCATGTTTTCAATATTTGAATTTCTTAACGGCAGGACTGTACTATGCCACTTAAGAGTAAACCATCTAAATCTAATTCACCCTTCAGTTTCTTCCGAGGCACAGAAAACACTTTCGACTGAAAGAAGTCTGCCTCAACCTTCGAGGACAGGGCTTGATTTAGCTATAAATGAATGACTAATTACAGACTGCAGCCAAAGTCAAGCATGGGTTTTATTTGTAAGTTTTGCATGGATGAATACTCAGCTCTGTAGCTCTTCTGCACCAGAGTTAGAAACAAATGCAAATCGAAATAGCCACAACCCCTGTGTTTACGGATTGCCCCGATTTGATTCTTTGCAAGAACAAGATTGCCACGCTCCCTACTTTTAATTTTGTAAACACGAGCTAGCTAGCTAGCCACTCTGTCTTCCTGTGTTTGACAGTGTCAGCTTGTTGGTTAAAAGAAAGCTACGCAAACCTAAGTGACAGCTTTCCCTCTGTCAGAATATTAACCTGTAGCCACCAACAACCTGTGTCACCGGTGCTGCCAAGTTAGCTCACAGAAGTTGACTAGCCGGCAGAGCTAAAGAAGCTAAAGGCAGTCAGTTACCTTCAGTGAGTCCGCTGAATGTCCGGTGTTTTGCCTTGAGAAATATATTCTCACTCTGAGCCATAACACCCGCTTGGTTAAACCGTCTCCAGAGCAAACCGGCAGGTCCGAGTGGGATGGTTATGTAGCTGTTATGTTTCTCCTCAGCTGTTCCTGCGGCTAGCTAAATCCGAGACACTCGGCGATCGACTAAACAGCCTATTTGTGAGTGTGTATGTGATCGTCACTGCAGCGGCCCCCAGTGTGACTACCAGTTAAGGCAAGTACAAGCGAAAAAAAAAGTCAGTTTAACAGGTTTCCCCGCAAACTTTTAAACCAGATACAACCTTCATGCTTACTGTTTAACTAGTTTCAACGACAAGAAAGAGAATTATGCTATCGTTTTAGCCACAACTCATCGTTTATAAATCAGAAAACAAAAGGGGAAAAAATCGATCAAGTCATCAAACATTCGCATCTTCTTCCGATAGACCTTTACAAACCAAACATCTGCATCGTCCACACCATTGCGTATTTTAGCTGTGTGTGAGAATGGCAAAATAAGAAACCACACGAAATAAGAACCTTGGACAGAGGATAGAGTCTTTCAGAACCACGGAGAGAGCCTCGTCCACCCGTCCTCCTCACCGCGCTTATTGTCTGCATGCTTTAACACTAGCTGAATAAGGGCAAATCAAAGGTTTTTTCTTGCTTGCCAGACAGTTTGAATACATCGAAGGTCCTTTAGAAATCGTATTTTTAACCAGAAAACGAATCATCAGAAGCGACAGAGGGGCTTGCATGTGGAAATATATTCGATTTTTATGATTTTTCATTGCACCTAACCTATAACGAAGGGAGTTTTCACTTGAAACAGCATCTGTTTGTGGTGAAAAAGAATTGCATTTGAAGAACTTACATAATCTTGTAAGAAACAAGTAATGGATGGATATTTTTTATTTTCATGTCTGGGTATCGGCTTTATCCATCTCCTGTGTCAGTAATTGGTAAAGTTATTAATTCGTTCATCCATTAATTAGTCATATTCATTCATTCATTCATTCAAATATATTGGAGTATCTAACTCATTATTCAGCCACCTTCCCCAATCAAAGTTAAACCCCTAAACCTTGATCTAACAGCAGTATTCCGCACATAGACATAAACAAAAAACTTCCCAAAATGATCCCACAGCCCCACACACATGATCCACGAATCAAAGCAAAGCAAACACTACATTTGCATCCACTGATGCCATGTTCTCCTCCTGCCCTGCCAGGTCCATACACATCTAAATGAGAACATATGTTTAAAATAATATATAAAGGATAGATAGATAGATAGATAGATAGATAGATAGATAGATAGATAGATAGATAGATAGATAGATAGATAGATAGAAGAAAATTACTTTGTGTTGCGCTTTGAGCGCCACAAAGAAAAGACTGAGAAACTCCGGGTGGATTAATATCCCTACAAGCCAAAACATTCATAACTTTATTTTTGTTTTGTGTTGTTTTTTGTTTGTTTGTTTGTTTGTTTTTTTGGAGGGGGGTGAATGAGGTTCTTTGTGGTCATGGTTTTTTGTTTGGGGGGGGTTTTTTCTTCTGGTAAATTATTGAATTTTCCCGAAGCAAATTCTCAGATTTCTCTTGTTTCGCCTGGTTTATTGATACAAATTGTGAGGATTGTGCTCCGAGGCAGACAAATACGTACATTTTTCTTTTTAAAAAAAATATCATTTTATATTTTTCTATTCCGAGCACCTTTGGCAAAAACCACAAGAGTGAGACATTTGCCTGTGGTGGAATATCACTCGTTACGGGGTTGTGTCTCTTGGTTATGGTCTTGATGGGCCAGATTGCTGTCTCCTATAGATGTCCCCTGGGATCTATAGGTGTTGTGTGTTTTTTTGTTTTTGTTGTTTCAAAATGTATCACCTGTTCTTAGAAGCTCTGCCAGCCGCTGCCTATTGTAACACATTAAGCTACTTGTGATTTCACGATTTCTCCAACAATGGCAACCTACGACTGGAAGTATTAAAAAAATGGGGCTCCCACGACTTTCCTCGCAGAGCGTAATAGTGATGTGCATAGACGCTTTTATCATAATATTTCACAATAAAGGCTCTTTCTCTCTCTCTCTCTCCCTCGGAGTCAGCCCTTGCAATCTCACTCCCTCCCCCTCCTCCTCTCCGTTTGTGTGTGTGTGTGCACCAGGCTCTCCCACCCTCGGCTCTTCTATTCGCTCACTGCGCTCTCATCCTCGGTGTGGCTTGTGTCTCTGCCTACTCCCGTGCGTAAGTGCGCACAGACAGAGGAGTGGAGTGATGCACTCCCGAAAACGCAAAATCTGAGCCTGATAAAAAAGACAAAAACCTTTTGGGAAAGGCGTCTAAATGCGCGCTCGCTGGAGAGGAGTTCAGTTAAGTCAAGTTTAATCCACATAGGGTTTTTTGTTTTGTTTGTTCTTCTTATTCCGCGCGTTTGTTTGTGGATAAAGATACGCGAGCAAAGATGTTCATCAGCGCGGATATTTCTGGACTTTTCGGCATATCATGACCGTGCGCCCTGTCCCCTCTCTTCAGGTCTTTTCGTTTCCGCGCGAAGTTGAACGGAGGAGAGAGCACAATGGGAGGGAAACACTTTCTCCCCTGCTTCTTGTTGCTCAAACTTATGGCTCTCGTGTGCAAGGCTGGCGGGATTCCAGGAGCGCTCGGGGGATTCGTAATGATCGCCACCTCGAACGGCTCCACGCCGGAGGAGAGCGTGTCCGAGCAGACCCCGCACACGGAGGAAAAGTGTCGGGGTTACTACGACGTGATGGGCCAGTATGACCCGCCGTTCATCTGCAAAACGGGCGTGTATTTGTACTGCTGCGGTACCTGTGGCTTCCGCTTCTGCTGCTCCATCAAGGAGTCGCGGCTCGACCAGGAAACCTGTACAAATTATGACACCCCTATGTGGATGAAGAGCGGGCAGACACCCTACAAGAAAACGAACAAGCCTCACGACAGCACCAAAGACAAGACGAACTTAATAGTTTACGTCATTTGTGGAGTAGTGGCGATTATGGCTCTTGTGGGGATTTTCACCAAGCTGGGGCTGGAAAAGGCGCACCGACCCCAGAGAGAGAATATGTATAGGTGGGTCTCTTTCTTTCTTGGTTTCTCTCTCTCTCTCTCTCTCTCTCTCTCTCTTCTATCTGTGTGTGTCTATCTTCCTCTTCCTCCCTCCCTCCCTCTCTGCCCGATTCTCTCGGTGCGCTTGTTTACAAAGAGACTTGCAGTAGTAGCCTACGCGCGCAATGATCTGGAGCGCGCAACGTGTGGACGTGTGCTTGTCGTCTTAACAGAGCACCCCACCACCACCACCACCACACACAACACATATAAATTTATGAAATTAAATTAAAGGAAAAACTCAAACCCTTGACCTCTTCATTAGGGTGGGGTTCTCCTTGTCTCACTTTAGTGGAAAGACTTACTGCAAAGTTGACCACCTTTGTCTTATGACAAACCCCTTTCATCCCGATAAGAGTGCTCTTCTACAGGTTTGGGTCACTGAGTATCAAAATGATGTGTCTTAGGTTGTGATCTAGTCATAGCAAAGTCTAACTAAGTGTCGAGAAGCCAGACCAATGTTGTCCACAAATTACAGGCTAGCTCATTTTGGTCTAGAGCAAAGACTTGGAGAGCGAAGAGCAAGCCAAGGCCAACATGCAAAAAGAACATCGAAGCTATTTTGGCTTCACGTGGTGGCCTTGGCATCACACTCAGTCTAAATTTTCCTTTAATTTGTCACCCCTCCGTGCCGTAAAACATCATAGATGAACTTGTGCACGTTACACTTCACACACGTGGTTTCCGGGCAACAAGAGCAATGTATCGCATCTCCTGTTATTAAGAGTCTTTATGAACAGGAACTGATACCGCATATTCCTTCCACTCCAGTCTATCCATCTGTTGTGGCACAGCGTAACATTATGAGCTGCTCTCCTCTCATGTGAGGGGCGGAGGGGTGTCTTTCAGTAGAGTAAGGTGGCATTGCACTCCATTGTGTATCACTCTTGACCGGAGATCATTTGCTTGTTTTTACACCTTCATAGTGTTGCAATTCAGTAGGTGTGAGTGTATGTGCAATAATTACAGTAACAATAAATAAATAAATAAAAGGGAACAACTGAAAGGAAATCTTTTCCATTCATCGTGGAAACTAATTTTTCTGGTCAGCTGCACCTCATAATGTGAGGTGCAGCTGAAACGACAGTGTGCACCGGTACAGCCTAACTGAATAATTCAATTAGCCATGTCATGCACAGTTCCTCATGTCTGCACTCCTCATCCATCTCTCTGTCTGACAGGGTCGTCGCCAATGTGCTGCAGGGCGGGTGTCCAGGTGAGCAGTATCGCGGGGAAGAGGCCCTAGGGATGCATTCGCAGCACTATGTCGCCAGGGCCACAAACATCCGTGAGTTTTTTTTCTCTTTTTTTCTTCTGGCAGTTCTGGATAGCTCATTATTGGTTGTTGTGAACTGTGTGTATAAGTTAAAGCAGCATATGGAGGTGTGGGTGGGGTGCGTATGCGTGTCAGCAAATACTTCTTTTTTTTTTTTAATATAAAAAAGCTGCTTATTTAAAGCGAGATTGAGTGGATGCCGGTTGGTGTCAGAGAGCCTCTGCGAAGTCATTCGGAGTGATGGAAGGATGTGAGAGTTTGGGATCAAGTGGGTCGTCGCAGCCTCGTATCTGGCCGATGGTGCAGAGTCGGAAAATCCATTAAAAAAAAAAAAGAAAAAAGAAAAAAGACACGACCATAAACGTTGAGAGAAAACGCACATCCCTGCAGGGCTTCTTCTGTGTTTTTTGTTTTTGTTTCAAATGACAGCACTGGCTTTTGTTTTATCTCACACTGGCCAGATATCCATCCATTTCATAACAGCCTAGAAAGAGAATACCTCCCTGTCTTTTCAGCCGTTATTCACCGTTTTATTTTGGTTCATGCCCACATGATATAATGAGAGAAAGAGGCAAGTGGGAGTGTGTGTGTAAGAGGAAGTGGTGGTGGTTGTCTGTTTACATATGTGTGTGTGTGTGTGTGTGTGTGTGGGGAGGGTATAATACAAAGCGTATGAATGCCATCTATTTCTTCTGTGTCCCGTGGGCTGCTACAGTATCACGCTTATTTGCTTTTAGAACATCGAAGATCAAAGAGATGAATGTGCACAAAACCCGCACATACGTACATAAATGCATGCAGGGCAGAGAGTACAGTAGATGACATATAACACATACAGGGACAGCACACAGCATTTGGGCTCACTTAAAAATTGCGTCACCTTTTTATGCCAAAACAAAATAACAAATCTAGTCTGGTATTCAGGACAGAGACACAGAGTGACACAGAGTTCCCTCTGCCTCATTCTTATTATCTAGTTATACGCGAATGGCACCTTGTAGCATTATAACTGACTGGAAGCTGAAATCCTCACACATCCAGAAGCCTTGCCTTTTTGTGCATTTGCGTGCATCTCCATACTTTTGTGAGTCCAGAAAGACAATTTATTCCATCAAATTTGACATTTACACTTGATTTCTAAAGTTCTTACAAAAGTAAAAAAGGAGCCTCCTCTAGCAGCCTAAACCTGTTGCAGCAGGACTAAGAGAGGGTGCAGAGTCAATCGAGTCAGCCGTAACTAGAAGCTTTATCAAAAAAGACAGTAGTTTCAAGTCCAATCTTAAAAGTGGAGAGGGTGTCTATTTCCCGAACCCAATCTGGGAGCTGTGGAACCAGCTCCCAGATTGGGTTCGGGAAGCTGGTCCTACATAAGAGAGGCCTGCCTCCCGTTCTACTTTCTAATACTCTAGGGACCACAAGTAAACCAGCACACTGAGAGAGAAGAGCTCTATTGGGGTGATGCGGTACTATGAGTTGTTTAAGATAAAACGGTGCTTGATTATTATTGAACACAGAGACAGCAGTATCCATACATTCCTAATTCACTCCTTTCTCTTTACATCTTTAAACGCGTGACACGTCACGGTTACAAATGACTGCTAACGAATCAGGACGTCCGCATCAAAGGCAGCGGTCAGGGGGTGCGAATGCATGCATCTGTTTGGGAGAATGAGATAAATGCGCAATCCTGCAACGACAGGGTGACATAACCCCACTCAGCGTGAAGCGCTACACCCACAGATGCCATCAACATCGTGATGAGAACACATCTCATAGAAAAATGTGTGGAGAAAGAATTTAAAAAAAAAGAAGGTTGCATTGATTTCTTTATTTAAAAAGAAAAGGGTCGTTTTTCGGGGGAGGGAGGTGGGAGTCCTAAAAGGGCTTCCATGAAAAGAGATGAATAACGCTTTCAGTAGGTGTCAGGGTCCACTGGAGTCCTTTTTTTCCTCTCTGTCCACACTGTGGGAGAGAAGAGATAGCTGGGTGGCCTATCACCTAAGTGGCCAGGAGGACACGGCTGTGAAATAGCGATTATTATTTGCAATGTGGAACCCGCTCCCCTTAACCTTCTAATCCTCTGGCTTGTGGGTAATCATGTGGAATGTTATTAACCTCCACGATCTGCCAGGATCCACCCCCCTACACACGACAACCACTTGATTGGTTTACGGACCCCTCCCTCAAACTTCCGTAAGAATTGCAGTCGATTTATTAGGGTTACAGGAATGGAGGTGAATTAGGTATGGATTTACTCAACGTGTTATTCTTATTTAAATGATTAACAGAAGATAAATAGACTGAAAAAGGCCAAGGCGATTTATCATTACAAGTGTCACTGTGAATGTGAAGGACAGATGGGGGGAAGAAGGAGAAGAAGAAGAGGAAGACTGAAGAGAGTGGTAATTGCAATGTAAAGATAAGTACTCGGGTTAAAGGGAATGTCATGCACTCTGTGCACATGAAGCGAGTCTGCTCAAATATAGCGAAAGATTGTGCTGGAAAATCTATTTTAGTGCAAAAGCACTTATTGATTATAGCTTATGGCCAGATTGCCCTATTAATGGCATGATTGAACCTGGTCTGGCAGGTCTCCTTTGTTTATTTAACAGAAGAGAAATTCCTTTTTCCTGTGTGACAGCCAGAATGCCAGTTGTCTGTGAAGGAATCATCGATGACCGCCGCTGCTGTATCATTTATAAGGTTCAGTCTATTTGTTGACAGAGGAATATCCCACACAAGTGTGAAACACCCAGAATCAATCAGCAACACACAAGTCCGGGCTTTCTGTTTATTATGTCCACCCCCAATCCTGCATATTAAAAATGGAGATTGAGGTTGCTTCTTGAACCAGAACCCACCAACCTATAAATGACCCAGATGGGCAGGTTTGTTCACTTTTTTTTCATCCCCCCGCAAAAAAACAAAAAAAATGGAGACTTTGTTTGAATCCTTAAAAGGAGGGGAGGGATGAGGAAAAAAGAGGGGAAAGTAAGGACAAGAAAGAGGAGAAAATCATAAAAAGGGACCTATTCATCTTTTTGTTGTGTTTCCTCCTACTGAACATAAAATCCTGCTGTCTACATGAACAGATTTCCTTACCTGGACGATTGAGCGTGCGACGAGTCAAATGATCTCAGTGGCAACATCCTGTCTACATTTTACATAGTTGCGACCTTTGCTGTTCCACGTAATGAAGACGTTAGCTGTGAAGTTTTACCGTAAAACAGCAGCGATCCTTGTGACTTCTTTCTCTTGTCATTTGGGATAACACACTCAAGATCTTCAGGTGGGCATCACTATTGGTATTATTAAGATAAAGCACACACTCACACACAAACACAACATACATATCTCGCAGTATTCACAATGCAGCTCCCCATTTGCTGGCTTAATTACCTTCCTAGTAGTTATAATCTTTTCCTAAACATTCTGAGATGGGAAGGATGAAATTTTAATAGGTAATTGCTTCTGAGATTGCACAGGCACGAGAAAAGACCCCCATCTGCAAAATGCTCCGGCTCCGCGTTGTGACTGTGAGTGTGTGTACGAGTTTGTGTGTGAGTGAATGAAGGTGCGCGCAGGCGGACAGTGTGTATGCAGGCAGCACATAAATGTGTTTTTCAAGCGCTGCACAAGTCTGTCAAGAGGAGTCGTACGTATCCTTCGTTAAAAGTAGGTGACTGTGTGACCTTGTCTTCGCAGCTGTCATCCGAGCCGTCAGCATGTCATATCTGATTGCAGAGTGCCAGATCCGAAAGCAGAGCCTCAGCTAGTGAACCTACGTGCGGGCCGTAGAAACAAGCAAAGAGAGGCTGTGAAAAAGAAAATGACAGAGCTGTAGGTAGTTATCTGTGAGGCGTCACTCCAGCTTGGGCTCCGTTTGAAGCTCAGCTTCTGTCCTTGTGTTCAAACAGGCGGGAAAAGCGCAGTCGAGGTTCCATCCCCGAGTTTGTCTTTTAGGCTCATAGTCGGATGGAGTGACAGGAAAGCTTCCACTACATCTGCAGTTAGTTCTCTTTGATCCAAACCACTGAGTAAAAATTTGTCCCATTTTTAACTTGACTTTGCTCTGTCATACTCGCAGAAGCAAGTTTAGAGGATATTTTTATACGTACAATTAAATAAGGAGTTACCTGTTTTTTTTGACAATATGCTTTTTAACTTATTTCAGTTTGAAGATGGACTTGTTTTCCTGTTTCTAAAAAAAGACTCTGCAATGTGTTGGAGGTGTTGGACATCGCAGGGGCTGAACTTTGTCACTGATTCTATTTTTATGGTAGGAACTGAGCTGTGGAGGGTGTCAGATTTGGTGAATCCTTCATGGATGAAGTGGTCTAGTCAGCTTCATCGAGTGAGGACTTCTAACTCGCACTGAGGTAGTTTTTGACCAAGTGTGTTGGTTGGAATGAGAATTAGCACCTCCAGGTCTGAGGCTATGGTTCTCAGTCAGAAAAGGGTGGAGTGGCCACTCTAAGAACAAGGTCCTGCCCCAAGTGGAGGAGTTTAAGTATAAGGATGCTGTACCTGTCTGTTGAGGTGAAGAGCGGTCGACGTTCTGGCCGTCAGGGGCGCACCGCCTGGGTGAGCTGTTCTGAGCATGTCCCACCCAGAGGAAGCCTTGGGACAGAACCAGAACACGCTGGAGAGAGATTATATCTCTCAGCTGGCTGGGGAGAGGGAGGTTTGCCTTTCGCATCCAGACCTGTGTGAGCAGCAGAAAAAGGATGGATGGATAACACTTTCTGTGAACATTAAACTAACTTTTATGAACTTATAACTTAATTAAACTCATAAAAAAAATCTCAAAAGCAACAAAAACCAAACACACAAACAAACCAAACAACTTTTAAAAAAGGAGCAAGCTACATTTTTACAAAATATGCTATTGCTAATTAGCTAGGTATCGCTAGGTAGCTATGTGCGTGCTCTATCCTTCTGCAGTCGACAACAAATTATAGTGCACAAATAAGCTATTTAATTTTTGTGTTGCTAAAATTAAGTATATTTTA